AGTTCATCCTCATAGTTTGACTCAGCTCTAGACCTTTAAGTCCAAAGCCCATGTCTTTCCCACCATACCACGACATGTTTTCCTACTATGCTAGATATGCCCAAGTATCTCTCCAGCCTCTAGATTTAAAGGTTAGAGCTGAGTGGAACAGGGAGCCCATGTTTTTATGCTGTTGTTAAGAGAAACTAAAGCAGTCCCAGGAATGAGAGTTATACCAAAGCCACCTGCAGATGAAAACCATTAGCAGCAAAGGGCAGAGAATCTGGGGGTGGAACATGGAACTGGTCAAGGGGAGCTGGGTATCTTGAGATGACATAAGAATGACTGCTACATGCAGCCTCTGTCCCCTTGACATAAGAAGATCCTTAGATGGAAAAGAAATGTCAAGTCACCTCTCTTATACTCTGAGGATTCTTATACTCTGGAGACTCTCAGTGTCAGCATCCACTTTGTGCCAAAGGTCTAGAAGGTGCCATTTCTCTCTTCTTCCTTAGAAAATGCACCCAGCTACCCCTGTCTTTAAGAATAATAACCAGTCGACTCTGCTCAGAAAAACAGGCTGCTCACTCTGAACACACCCTTGCCTTGTATAATGCCAGGCAGCAGATATTATAACCATGCTCATTTTAGATATGAGGAAGCTCAGCTCTATCAGTCAAGATAGAATAATAGAAAGTGGCAGATGATTATTTTGAGCCCAGGTTTGCCTGGCTCCAAGGTCTGAGCTTCTCACCTTCCCAGTGAGCATTTAGCTAACTCCTGACAGACACACTCTGTTAATGTTGGATATTAGGGAATTTGAAGACAGGCCCGGATTGAGTCCCAATCATCACTCCTTAGCTATGTGGAGAGAGATGAACTACTCAGTCCCTAAACTTAGCTTCCTAATTCCTTGGGATCATCCCTGCTGGCCCCACAGAGCTCTGATCAAGATTGGATAAGGTTACATAACTGAAGAATTTATCTCATTGCCAGATGTGGTCAATTGCAAAAATGGACATGATTTCTTTTCATTCCTCTATTTACAATGCAATTTTATGGTTATGTCCATTAAAAAGTTGAGGTTGTTTCCCCATCTTCTAAATCTGGGAGGGGGCCCTTACTGTTTCCGTCAATAAGACAATGTGATGCCAGCCTGGAGAGCATGGAGACTTGCCTTCCCTTGCTGCCAGCATGTTGTAAAGAACTCTGGGTGAGACTTCTGAGGAGAGACCAACAGCCACCCACAACCCCCAGGCATATGATAAGGCCCCTGACAGCCAGCTGACTGCAAATGCACAAGTGGGCCTAGATATAGTATGCACAGCAAAGGCAGCTGACCTCAGCTGGCTTATCCCTAATTTGCAACCTTCAGAACCATGAACAAATAAATGGTTATCATTTTAAGCCATGAGTTTTTGTGTACTTTGTTATGCAAGCAATAGATAGCTGATATACTGGCACATATAGAGGTTACTTAAAATATATTGTTTTTTTTTTCTCTCTTTCTTGACTCTTTCCAAAGGGATATAATGGAGGCAGAGGCTAGATTGCTAGAAGTCAGTAGACTGGACCTAGAATTAGCTTCTCCTCTGCCCACCCCCTCTGGAACTGTTTCGTCATGCATAACATCTAAGAGAGGAATTAGGTGATTATCAAGTTCCCATCCCGCTCTACCATTCTGACATTTGATTGCATTTTTTTATTCTGTTCTGAATTCATGTCAACATTTTTTCAGACTTATTTTAGGTTTTGAGTTTTTTTTAATAACAATTCACCTTTTTCTTATAGCCTCCTCTATCACGTCTATATTGAACATTGCGAAGGACATCTTCATACCCTTCTAAGTCAATAAGATTCAACTTTACAGCTCAGATTTTCAATTCTTGGAAATCATTGACTTTAGCCAAACAGTTTAATAATATTTTGGGGGAGTGGGGAGGGGGAGGAAAAAAATAGATTAACGCACAGCTTTTGAATTGGGTACTGATTTTTTTCTTTTAATCTATGGCTGAGCCTTTTTTACCTGTGACATACAGACGGTTTCTTAAAGGGCACTGTTGAGCCCCACACACTATGGCATCCTCGTGCTTCCAATAACTCCACAGTCTAAAGCTTTTTAGTTCAAAATATGTTGAGGAATATTTCCGATTTGAAAACCTCTCAAATCTGTTGTTTCTCTTATCACATCTCCTATCTCTGGACATGAAGCAGAGTACTCTGAAAGTTGGCCAAAAGCTTGACAGCTTGCTGGTGCCTGAATGACAGTTTCTCACAACACAGGAATTGGCCCCTCTGACCTCTCTCAGCTCTGAGAGTTCTGTAATCTCTTCTGAGAGATAAGCATTGTTGAGAAGGTTAGCCAATTTCCTGGAGATTTGGCAATTTCTACTGTGTCCTATTGCTGCCTGATATGTGACAGCTCTTCATTGACTTTCTTGAAAGCCTTTATTTCAATGCTATATCATAGCAAAATAGTTACGATCGCATTCTGAGCAACAACTAGAGTTCTGCATTTAAGAGAAACTGGCCTGTGGGTGCTGCTCCCATTGCAGATCAACTGAGGCCTACCAGGAACTCAGGATCTCTTCCCTGAGCAGTTACATCTGTCAAGAACAGGTGACTTCCCTCTATTTACACATGATTCCCTGCACCCCCCAAATTAAATTTCTTTTGCAATGAAATGTAAGGTCATTTGTGTTACAAAAACACTAAACTCTGTGTGTGTGTGTGTGTGTTGCTGTGAAGAAAAGTCAACCGATAATTTGAGATCTCAAGGCTAAATGAGTATAACAGGAGAAATAATAATTAAGAAAAGAAGAAATTTAAGTGTACACCATGTTCTATTTTTTTTTTCCATTTTTCATTCAAACAACTAGGATATTAAGAAACTGACCCTGTGTGCTGCTACCCTCTTTCTTCAGTGGACATCATTTTTATGACAATATAATCCAATGTGTTTTTTTTTCTTCAATAACAATCCAACACATTTGCTCAATATTTGGGATGTGCCTAAGCAAAGAGTTGAACGAACATAAAATGCAGCAACTTCAACTGTGGGAGAGAAGTTGTATGTTCCACAATAGAAAAATAAAATGTGAATGTTTAAATGCTAAATTGGGTGAGGTAGATTAAAAGAAGTAAGCTGGAGAAATCTTTTTAGGAAGTACAACCCACTTAAAAATATATATATACATATGCATTATATATATATATATATATATATGCAGACACACAGACACACACAGACACACACACACACACTATGTATGTCCATACTCAACATTCCCTGGAAGGGCTGGTATAGAGTTCCAAAGCATCCAGCAGAACACTTTCAAAGAACTAGGACATGAAGACATGAAGATAGTCCACTAGAACTAAATACTGGAAGTAACTGCAAAGGCATTTTCTTTCTTTAACTTCTATTCCACTCACTTTGGGAGGGAGGAGAACCAGCAGGTAACTGTGGTCATGTTTTATGATGCACTCCACAGGGTGTTTGCCTGCTATATTAGGAAAAATCCAATTTAAAATTCAAACAATACCTTAGAGGTAAAAGCAAGCCCTGGCAGTTACCCAGGCAGGTGTTCTCTTGGCAAAATAAAATCTGCCTCCAAAGCCAACCCAAAGGTGCACCAAAAAAAAAAAAAAAAAAAAAAAAAAGCCTTGGCTAGAAGTAGGGAACCTGTCTTTGCTGACTTTGGGGCTACTCCTGCATATTGGATGGCTGTGGGGAAGCTCAGTGGGCCTTTTAAAACATCCCTTTCTTCATCTGATAATCAGGAATACTGATTCTCCAACTCAAATGGATCTAACAAAATCTGCTTTCCCTTGCAGTTCCAATGAGAATATGTTCTGTTTAGAAAAGGACCTAGAAATGGTAAACTGCTTTAAGATGGTAAACTGTTTTTCCTATTAGATGGGAGAAATGCACAATATACTTTCTCAGAGTGTTCCAGACCACTGCCTTGCATCTCTGTAGTTCAGAGGTGGAAACCCCAGGAGTGTCTAGATGCTACAGAGGAAGGTGATGGGAGTGTTATTCAGGTGCAAAGACGAACTTAAATGTTCCCAAGCAAAGAACTGTAGAAGTATGGCAGGTTCCCCTGACCTCCTCCTCCTCCTCCTCCCAAATGCCTCCTACTGGCTGCACTCTACATTTTAGTATTGTTTTGGAGGAGCTGATGTTCTACAGAAAGGGACGCAAAGGGGAGGTTCCTACAAAGGGAACGCAGTACAGCCCCACATTCCCTTCAACCTCTACCTTGTGGCAACCCCAACAGTGAAGACCTAAGGCAAGACGCAGCGCCTTCTCATGAGCAAAGGCTTTTCAGGCAGAAGGGAGAGCTCTGCTCTGCACATAGAACTACAGAAACATGGAATCCTGGAACGTATTCAGCCTGACCACCAGGGCGCGAGCCTGGGTTGGCAGGATTGGAACGCGCTGTGGGTCTCCACCTGGTGTTGAAAGAGGGGCGCACAGATTTTATTCTAAATAACTTTTGACCCTATTTCTGGCGGATCTTTCTTTCATAGTTACTTCTCAAGAAAATCTAAAATGAAAACACCTCTTTCTCGCCCTCCGGCCTTCACCGACGTTTGAAATTCAGCCTGTCTTGATAGGCGGCCTTCCCTAGGCTCCCCACTACCTACTCTTCTGCCATCATTATACCCCCGCCCCCACCGCCGCCGCCCTGGTTTCCTTTCAGTTGCAATTACTGTGGGCCCTTCTTGAGCTAACAACTGGTTGGTTCGGAGCTTAGGGGTCTCGAGTATCCGCTCTCCGCCTGCTTTCTCCTCGATCAATGGCTTAGCTGGTCAGGACTTGAACAAATTCGCCTGACCCTCACAGTGAGTTGTCATGAACCTCAAAACCGAATTGAAGCCTGGGGAGGCCTTTAGGACCGAGGGGAGACAACGCTTCCCGGAGTCAGGCTGCAAATTCCTGTCCTCCCAGTCCCCAGTGTCTGTCCCCCTCCCCCAGCCTCTGTCACCCTCAATTTCCAGACACTGGCCCCGGGTCACCCACCAGACGCTAACACCCGGGAGGGCCCCGCTGGCCTAGGGCAAAGTTGGCAGCCTCCTTCGAGCGGGGCCGCTCCCTTTTCCTCCTCCTAGCTGCCCTCCTCCCCAGGGCCCCAAGGCTGCCTCCTCTCGCACGCGCGTCGCCAGACAAGGCAAGCAGAGCGGCGCGCCCCCGGGCGCCCCGCGCCCAACACGCCACTGGAGTCTCCTCGCACCCTTTTCTTTCCTCCCGGGCCCAGAGGACTCGACTCCGCCCCGGCGCCCCAGCCGCTCCGGACTCCCCACCGCCCGGGCTGCTCCCGGAGCTCCCAGACGCGCGGGGCAGCCGGGGGCGTTGGCGGCGAGCACTGGGCGGGGAGCGGCGGGGGGAGAGGAGGGAAGCAGCGCCGAGGGGAGCGAAGGGGAGGGCAGAGAAGGAGAGAGCTTGGGAGCTGAGGAGCAGAGGCGGGCGCCGCACCGCCCTGCGCCCCGCACGCTCGCTGGCTCCGGAGACTCGCGGGCGGCCGCTTGGGCGCACCAGCCGGGTCACCTTGTCCCGGAGGTAAGTCCCGACCGCCCCGGCGGAGCGGACGAACTGGGGGGTGGACTGGGGTGGGGCGGGGGCCGCGTGCTGGTGGCGGGCGCGGGAGGCTGCCCTGCAGCGAAGGGCTTCGTGGCTCCGCCTTGTACCGAGCAGACCCGTTGGCGGCTTGGCGCCCGCGGTAAGTCCGGGTGGTCGCAGTGGCGGGACTTGGGAGTCGCGGGCCGCCGGGCGAGAGGGAAAACAGGAGCTGGCTGGGAAAATTCGCAGGAAGGAACTGGGTGCTATCCTCCGGTGCTGCACCTTGGCTTCTCGCCACCCGGGGCACCCCAGCGACACGGAGGGGATGCTGCGCGAAGTCCGTAGGAGCTGGTGAGACTGAGTCCTGGGAGCGCTGGGGAACCAGACTGCCCAGGGCCGTTGGAGCGTGCGGCGGGCATCGGCTCTGCAGGTTGGAACTACCCCCCTCCCCAGCCCCCGGAGCGACCTAGAGGAGACCGACACTGCCGGTGAGCAGAGTAGCCGCCGCGGACTAGGGACAGGGAAGGGAAACAGACTTCGGAGTAGCCTAGATGAGGGGAAAAGGAAAGCAAGGGTGCAAGCGCGTTTGGGATGGGGAATACCAACCGGTTACCAGGGCGGCGGCGAGGACTTCTGAAGCCCCTCACTGCCGGCCACGGCAAGACCAGCTTTGGCGATCTGTCTGTCCCCTGGCAGCGCGACAGCCTGCAGCCCTGGGAGCCGCCGGCTCTGGCGCCGAAATGGGAGCAAGCAGATGCGCTTTTGGGGTTCAAACTGTAGTCTCTCTTTCCCTAGGCGTGATTTTTGTCTTTTCATGTGCGCTCTCGGAGTAGTGGAGAGAAAGAAGAATGGGTCATCCACGGAGTTGGGCACTTTTCTTAGGGAAGGGGCTTTGGTCTCTATAAGACCCCAGTAGTGTGAGTTCCCGCAGTTGTGCTTTATGGACATGTTGGAGGGATTGCCTGGCTTCTGTGGACTGCAGGAGGTAGCCCTCATTTTCTGGGGTGGTCCACTTGCATGCAGAAGCTTGGACACTTGGCACCGGGACTTCAGGTGCGCGCAACCTTCTGCGGCGTCAGACGCGCTGGCGCCTTTGCTGCTGGCAGGGACTGGATGCCTGCGCCTTCCCTAGCCTCGTCCGGATGTCCAACGCAGCAGTTACTGGCCGACCTGATTTTGGTCTGGACATTATTCCGTGGCTCCGTTTTTAGTTTACAGTCAGGCGGTGGGGCACGCGCGCGTCTGAGCTGTGTATCTGTCCGACCCCCTCTTACAAGCTAGCGGGTTTGGTCTAGAGCCCAAAAGGAGAGGCGGCGTGCTGCGCAGACCTGCAGCCTGTGGGGTGACTAGCCTCATAACAAATCCTAGAGCGAGCCAACTTTTTCTTGCTAGGATGCCTTTGCCAATGCAGCTGGTGTCGGTGCGGGGAAAGTGGTCCTCAAAGAGGACTACGGTTGCAGTAAGTAGCCAGCGTGGCAACCCATGGCCAAGGTGGCGGGCAGCAATCTCGTGTCTGTTCTGGCAAGGGCAGTAGGAAGCTGGAGCCGAATTTTCAAAAGAATTGCGTGCTGCACGTCTGGCGATTGTGTTGACTGTCTTTTAGGAGATTTACACCACAGGTGCCAGGCCTGTGGATGTATGAGCAAATGCCCTTGGCCTCCCTTCCTTGCTCCCTTCCTGCCTGTCTCTAACAGCCCCTGGCTCCTTTGCAAGGAGCAAACCTGTGTATGCTGCTGGTTTGGTGCCTTTTCCCACTGTACCCCCCCTCCCCACACATGCCTTCTGCATGAAAATGGAATCATCACGATCAGGAGGGTTTCCTTCAATAAAGGGGGAAAAGGGGAAGCCTATTTTTAAACTTTTTTATTATGGAAAATTTTGATGACACCCAAGAAGAGAATAGTACACTGCCCCTATGTGTGTGTGTGTGTGTGTGTCTGTCTGTCTGTCTGTGTGTCTGTCTGTCTGTCTGTCTCACCCAGTTACCTGGCTCCTCATGTGGAGGCCACGTTTGAAGGATTTCAAAAACTCATCCCCAAATGATCAGTGTTTGAGGTGAGAGAGATGTTAATTAGATTCATTTAACCATTCCACATTATGTACATAAATAATAGCTTCACTTGGTACCCCATAAATATATACACATTGACAATAGTTAATAAAGTTAATTTAAAAATTATGAACTACATTATTTAGATTTAAAAAAATTCTAGTTAATGTCTGTCTTTCCAAACTGATGACAGTTCATTTCATTTTCACCTAATCATCAGAAATTACTATTTTTGTTGTTGTTGTTTTGGTCCTGGGAATTGAAAGGAATCCGGAGGCCTCCTGCATGCTGTGCACTGGCTGTACCATTGAGGACACCCCCAGGCTCAGAAATGACTTATTAATAATTCCATGACTTTATTAATAACATAGGTGAGGTTAACATACAAATAAAGGCACCCTCATTTGTAATTAGGGGTAAAAAAGAAACCTGCTAACTTTCCTGGAGGAATGTGGAAGGGGCTGTTGAAAGAGGAAAGACAAATCCATATACTGAGGGTAAAAAGGTATTTTAAACTTTTGGATTTGATTTATACCAGTTGCTGTATAAATTAGGGCATAGTCTAGTTGAAGCCTGATAGGCAAAACAACTTTTTCTTTTTGGTAAAATGTTTAAAATTCAATTCATAAATTATTTGCAATGAATTTCTTCCACATTTATCATTGACATGGAAGGGCTACACTGGACTTAACTCATGGTTCTCACTAACTTTTAACTCCTATTTCCTCAGGAGTTATTACTGTAATAAGAGAATAAAGAGCTATTTCCTTACATTTTGTATCAGAGACACTAGAAGGTGCTATTCTGAGGTTCAGGGAGAGCACTGAATGTTTCATCTTTTAATTAGGAAACTTTTGGTCCTCATACTGGTCACACTTGACATGTTCTCAGAGAAGGCTCTGCATGCTGGGATTTAGTGTTCAGTGTGATTTCTGTTGGTTGGAGAGCACAGAGAGCACATGGAAGGCCGATTTAGCAGGAGGGGACATCCTCCCCCACAGGGCCCCTCCCACCCTGCACACCTCTGCACTTTCTTTTAGATAAAAGCTGTTCCTAAAAATTGCCAATGACATTCTCTGAGTCTTTGAACACCTTTATGGTGTACTATTTAAAGGCATCCTTAGTTAACCTTTTTCTAAGTGAAGAACCCTCTTGTAGGAGATGGGTTTAATGCCCCTCCCACCTCACCCCTGAGTTAAAAACAAAATTAATGTGGTCTTCAGGAATGGGCTGCAGTTCAGTGCCCTTGTCATTGCTTTATCTGCTTCCAGGCAGTGTGCTTGGTATCAGCTGGATAGAGGAGGGCGTGAATGGAGGAACCACTTATGGATTGTCCTCTGCATCACACCACCTGCTCAATATTTTTTGGAATGCCTATTTGAAGACTTACCTTTCAATCTCTGGGCTCTGATGCTTGCTCATTGAATGATCCTAAACAAGTCTCTTAACTTTTCTAGATTCCATTTCTTCTCAACCACATCTTTCTAGGATTTTGTAAACAAAATGTTCATGGTCATCTCAATTTGTAAAATCAAGCAGATTCTGATTTGGGACACTTAAGTGTCTTGAATGTCTCTTTGGTTGAAGTTTGCAGTCATGTGGCTTTCTGAGAAAACAAAATGAGCTCATGGCCTTCCTTGGGCCTGAATCCTGCAACTACTGTTGGCAGATGTCAGAATAAGGAGCAGTGTGTGTGTATACATTCATGTGGAGTGCACCAGCCATACATGGGAATGTGCATGAGTTGTATCAACAGTCCTGTATGCTCAGGATTTACAGGGATGGTTTAGGAGAAGGATGTGAGAAATAGCATTTGAAATGTCCCTTTAATATAACTGAACTTAGCATTGTCTAAGATAAAACATTTGAAGGCAGATTTTCAACAAACCACCAACCACCACAAGCAGTAATGAGATGATTTAAGTTACATTGTTTAACCTACAAAGTCTAAATCATCTTAAACCATTGTATGACAAATAATCTGATAAAGTACCCAAAAAAGTAAAATAAAATATGATGCTGAAGAACAACTAATGACAGTAGGACTTCAAATAACTATTAGAACACAAAACACCATAACCATGAAACACTGTACGCATGTAGAAAATAATAAAAATAAAAGTTGCTTCTGAATGTATATCCCAGAAGGTAATGGATATTTACTTGCATAAAAATAATTTATCTAGGAGTTCACTAGGCATTATTTCATGGAGGTGAATGTTTTGATCTTGAAGTTCAAATCAATGTTCATTTTGTTGTTTTTAGTTTCTCACTGATCCTTGTTAATATTATAGTAACAGTTGGGGGATGTAACACAGAGGGAGAGAGGGAAAGGGAGAATTAGATTGTAAAATGGGTCTTTTGAAAGGGGCTCACTGTTTGAATCCATATTTTGAACAGATTTTAAGTCTCCAACAAGCTCAGTGTTAATCATTTGACCTCTTTGGGCAACCACTTTCTGATGTGTCTCCATTTGTTCTTTCCTTACTTTTTTTCTCTGTTAGAAAATTTCAGTGTCCAAAGCAAAATCCAAAAGCACACATTCTGCCATGTGACCAGCACTGGCTTCATGAAAGAAGGTTCGATTCATAAGTAATTGCTAGGGAGTTTTAAATTAAAGAGACAAGACTCTCATTACCTTTAATACCAGCTCCAAGAGGCTTCTCCTAGCTCCTGCCTCCAGCAACCTAATGTGATGGCGAGGTTTACAGAAGAGAATAGTGAGAGAAAGAGAACACGCCAGGGAGTGGGCTTTTATTGGGGAACAAAATATTCCAGGGAAAATCCCATCCAATGAAGGTAAACTGGGGCAGCATCCCAAGATCAGGGGCGACGACTGGGTCTTCGGGGCAGTGGCCAGACACGCCTCTGCATGGACAAGCCCTAGGACCTGGGAAAGGGTGGGGAAGGCTCTAACACAGCGGTGTCTAAGCGCCTCTCACCCAGCCAG